GAATATTACTTTCTCCTTAAGTGATCATTCCAGAAAGCTGGAGGACTATTTATTGAGACTAAATGCAGATGGGGAATATTGAAAAAGGGTAATTAGCCTCATTTTTGTCCCCCTTGGTCTGTGATTCCCCAGAGCTAACAAGATTAAGATAGTATGGAAAGTTTTGTAACTGTGTCGGGTTTAAACTGGGGCAGGTTTCCCAAGCGAGGAGTGTGTCCTGAGTAGGAGTGGTAAAGAGCTGGTATTTTCCACAGCTTGCACTCTTGTTCTCCCTTTCTCAGCAGGAAGGTCAGGTAACTTTGTGCTGCTGTGAGTAAAGATTTTAACTATCTTCTCTGCTCTAAGTCCCCTTATACCCAAATACCAACATGTGCTTTCTCAGCCTGATGTGCACCAGGTGTTTTGTTTAGGAGAATGTAGTTGTGTAGAGCCACCTGGGGGTAAATTGGAGGGATTTTGGCACTTGGGATGCATAAGGTTGCTATTACATATCAGACTACAGAAAATTAACCTGCAAGCCTTCTTGATATGCTTGTTTGTCTTTCTCAGCTTGCCCTTATCCTGCCTCTGTTTCCCCTCTGTGCAAGCTCTGCTGGCACACTTCTCCAAGGGCTTGCAGAGCACCTTGCTGCTCACTGCTGAGCTGGGCACTTTGCTGACACACTGCAGCCTTGGCATCCCTTATGCAAGTTCTGTTTCTGGCCAGCAGGACTGGATTCAGCTGTGCTGGAGTGGAGGCATCTGGGGGAAGTCCTGGGCTGTGGGTGTTGTGTTGTGCCATGGATGGATTGGGACCCTCCCCCCTGCTAGCTCTACATGTGGTGTAAGACACAGACAAGCAGCAGAACAAGCTGGTGTATTTTACTTGCTCTGCCACTGAACTAAAGCATGAAAATTTGGATTTAATCCCCTTCTGCAGATTAGCTGGAATTGTCAGCATAATGCTCATTCCAGCATATATTCTTCCTTCTTTGTAGCAGTTTATGTGGCTAAGGGCACTGCTGGGAACAGATCACCCACTTGCTCTGAAATTAATCTGCTACATTTCAGTACCCTGTGGAACCCCTTCTGGGATAGCCTCGATAGCAGGTGTTGTCTTCATGTGGTTTGTGCCCAGCATACATAACCTGGAGCCTTTTCCATGCACTTAGGTTGCAGCATTTCAGTTGGTAACTTCAAAAGGAAGGGTAAGTTCTTCAGTGGAAGCTGGAACTAACATACCCACCACTGGGCACCAAACCAGCAGGCTGGGTGGGTATGGCCATGCCTAAATGTTTGGCTAGCTTTGAGCCAAAACTTTGAGCTTGGTTCAGAGATATGTTTGGCTAGCTTTGAGCCAAAACTTTGAGCTTGGTTCAGAGATGAAGTGTCTTAAGAAGGACATCTGTAAGTGTTTGAGGCACTTAGTGATCCAGTTTCTAGCCTGTTTTCCTTATAATAACTTCTAAATATGGAAGACATTTCTATTTTACTGTTGCACAACACCTTGTACAGTAGCATCATCTGTGCTACCAGGCTCTGACATGGTCCAAAAAATTAATAAGTTCTGTGTTTGGAAGTCTTATTATGCAATTTAATAGCATAGCAGTGTAATGAAATCTCTGTGGCAAAGTGATGAGATTGAGTGGTTTTGTGTGTGAATTACAGGGGCTGTAAGTGGGCAAGACACTAGCTACTTGTTTTATTGCTGACAATATACTTATTTTCATGTTTATTCCTGGATTACAATGTGTGAATAGCATCCCAGTAAACAGTCAGGCAAATTGTTATTTATCAAGTATTTAAAAGTGAAAGGTCTTGTAATTTCCCTTAGTAATGACTGTGATTTCTTCCAGCTAGATTAATGACTCTCATTTCTCCCCATGAAGAACAAGATTTGTTTTGGTTTCTACATGGAGAGAGTTATTGTCTCCCATAATAATGCAGACCGGAGGATTTCTTTTTCCTTCCTGGCCTGGGATCTGGGAAAGGTTGAAATGTGCATAACCTGAATTAATACCTTGTAAAGCTCTTTAATACTCTTCCGTCATTCCTGTTAGAGTGGTGCAGGAGTTGCTGCTGGCATCAGCCCAGCAGCAGCCTGCCTCAGAGCAGCTTTTGTTTCAGTTTATGAGGCTGTAAGTGGGTCTTGTGATGGAATTGCCTTGAAAGGTCACTTTTAATTACATTTCTGTCGCATTCCTCTGTCCCCAGCTGGGCAGTCCTGGTGGAACAGGTTGCATGCAGCTTTGCAGCTGAATTTCTGCAGTGAAAACTCCAAAAATATGTTAGAACAGCTGCTGGCAGGCCAAAGGGAGCAAAGAAAATGGAACTAAGTGTTGTATTTTGTGCCCAGCCATTGTTACTGGTACACTGAGGTGGAGGAGGGTGTGAGAATTGAAGCATAAGTAAACCCTTGGTAGCAACCTGACCTGTATCCCTGGATAGCTGAAGTCTGTTATTGAAGGCCTTTGCATTGTGTGCTTTTTGCTTTCTCACCCTTTCTGGGATTGAGCATCATCTTGTTCTGAGAGCTGTGGCTTGTAGTTCTGGTCCAGCCAAGAGTGTGCTCAGTTAGTTGGAGTGGAAATCCCTAGAGCTGGTTTTCATTTTAGCCTTGTGCCTTTCTTTTCCTCTGCTGGTAGGGCAGACATCAGTTAGTTCTGTCTCCAGGCAGTAGAAGGCTGAAGATACACAGGAGGTTAAAGCCAAGGGTCCAGTGCTGAGATCTCAGCTCTGACACTGGCTTTGAAGACTTGCTTGCTGTTGTGCGTGTCTAGATCCTGTAAGCTGCTTAATTGCCAGATCCCTTAATGTAGGTTTGTGGGAGCTGAGCTGGGCTCTTAGCAGAGCCAGGGGGAAGGCATGCTTTCAGTGACCTCTGCCTCCTTTACCAACCCCTGCCTCCTCTTGTTCCTACACTCTTCAAGGCCCAGACATGTAGGGTTCAACAGCTGGCATATAACCCAAGAGCAGGTTCCGTGGCTGTACTGAGACTGGTCTAGAGTTTGGTTTTTTCCCCAGGGCACGTGGTTACTATGCTACACCTCTTGGATTCCTGTACACTCCAGGTTGCCTGATGTTTCTCTCTGTGGTTCACGTGCTCCCTACATGCCAGGGGTGCACCCTGATGGCATGGCAGTGCAGAGGGTGACAAGAGGAGAGGGACCCTGCCAGGAGTCAGCACTGCAACAAGAGAGGATGCTGCTTCTCAGCTTGGCAGGGGTCAGAGCTGGCTATTGATGCTGCCTTTAAAAATAAATAGACTGTGTGATTGTATTGATCTGAACTCAGTCTTATGGTTGGGGAGAATTCTGTCTTCTTGCTGCATGAAGACACCAAGTTTATCCTGTCAAATGAAATCCATGGATGTAGGGTAACCTTTGGTGTATGACTGCTACCACTGTTGCCAAGGGCTGAGACTAGATGGTGTGTTTAGGGTGTTCTAAATTGTGGTGATGCTGTAGCAAGGTTTTTTTTTCTTCCTGAACCGTTTTTCTCCTTTTCTTACCCCTTCCCTCACCAATCTGATCAGCAAACACTTCTAAATATTCATAGTGTGGGATTTGTCTCTATCTGCATGACTGCCATGGTTTGAAAGGAATGTGACAATGCAGAGGGAAATGGGGTTAATCTCCTCCTGCACTGGCAGAACAAGGCTGAGCACTTGTACAGCACAGGCATTTATTCTTGTGCCTTTTTCACTGTATTTGCAGTCTGTGGAGAAGGAGGAAGGAAGTTTCAGATGCTGATTCACTGTCAGGATGGAGACATGGATGCACAAGTTGTGTGCAAGTGAGATTTCAGGACATTGGTGCCTCCAGGGTTAACAGATAACTCCATGTCGCTTTCCTTGATGCCAGCCCAGCAGAAACCTGTCTGGGGCTGAAGCTCCTGGGGTTTCTCCATGACTATTAGCCAGTTCTTTCGTGAAGGTGTGGGGTCAGGTTGGTGGGTAGGAAGCAAGCAGTGCTTAGTCTGACTTGTAGCCAGGGGTGATCCCATGGCCAGCCAGGCCTTCAGCTCCCACCAGCATATGGTCTAGACCAGGGATGAGCCTGCACATCCCTCCTGGAGCAGATGCTGCCAGAGGCCCAAGCTGCAGGAGGGTGAGATGGAGGATTGTTTCTTCTGTGCTGGCTGAGCTGTGGGTCAGGCTGCCTCTGTGCCCATAGAGCTGCAGGGCCCTGGAGAGGCTCACAGATTTGTGCTCCATGGGAACAAAATTGTTAGCTTGGCAAATCAGGGCAACCTCATTAAGAGCTACTGAGAGCGTGAAAAGCGTGTTGCTGGAGGCAGGTCATGGTAAATGAAGGGGCTAAAGTAGCTGGGGTTTTCTAACAATTAATTATTGAGTGGTTTTCTAGAGATTCTTTCTCATGTTTATAATTCATTCCCTGCTGTAGATGCCATATTGATTTATAATTTTTTGAAGTTCAATATTTTGCACCCTTGGGGCCTCAAACAAAAATTAACTAGAAAATTAGAGTAAATTTTTACATTCTGCCTTGTCAGAGCTTGCTCTCCCGTTGCCCATTCCTAGAGCCAGTTTCCATGCTCTGGTTTGGGTTGCAGATGTTGCCAAGCCCGTGTGCCGTGGGCTGTGAGACGTGGGTGGCAGAAGAGCTGCCTCACTGACCAACAAATGAGAAAATCAAGAGCCCAATTAAGAGCCTGGAATTGCCCCCAGTGACCTGAGGAGAGCATTTAGTAGCTGCTAGTGAGACAGGCCTGTTTGAATGAATAAGCATTCCAGTTTGTTGGAAGGAAAAAAATCCCCTCCTCCCCCAGCTCTAATTAGCTACTCTGTCTTTTTTCTGCCATGAATGTAGAGGGTTTGTCACTGGAATGAAATCTTAACAAGTTGTGTGTTCTTCAACTTGCAGCCAGTGAAGGTGATCTCTGTGCAGGGGATGTGGAGACTCTTGTACCTGTTTTCTGTATTTCCTTGAAGGATCTTTGATTTTACTGTTAAGTACAGCTCTTCCTTACCCTCTGGTTTTTCTCTTTTCCTCCAACAGGGTGACTAAAGAAGTGGATGCAAACTCAAAAGAAGCTAAATCTTTTCTGAAGCAGCAAGAGAAACTGCAGTCAGCAGCTCCAGCTTCCTTGCCGACAGTCTCAGGGTGAGTATGTGATTTCCCTGCCCGGGTATGGGCTTTAGTGAGAAAGATGGCACTCGAGCCAATAGTGCAGGCCCTGCAGTATTTAATGGGTGTTTGTTTTCTGCAGGATTTCAGTGGGAGCAAGACTAGGCCTGGAAGGTATGATAATTTGGGCTGTATTGATGATTTGGGCTGGAGGGAAGCGGGGGAAGCAACCTGTGAGTTCCAGTGACTCACTTCATAGGTTCAGGCTCAGATTTTTTAATCCTCATAAATAATTCATTCTAGCAAGGAAATAGTGGTTTGACTATTTGTCTCAAGCAGCCTGATGAAACTGCAGGTAGCCAAGGAACATGCCTGAGATTTCCTGCAGTTCCTTTGACAGGTGCTTCTCAGGGCTATATAAAGCCATGTCAGGCTGAGCTGTGGCTTCTTAGAGACTTTGGGTGGGCATTTAAATAAGAGATGTTTTTGCCTCTTTAATGTTTTCTAATATAATTCTGATGTGGATTTGTCAGTTTTCTGTTCAAGCTCTAACACCTAATTCTGAGATCATCATAATGCTTGTCAAAGATACAAGGAGGTCGGGTCCCCTGTGTGTCTTGACATGCCACTCTGGTTCTTGATGAGCTTGGGAGATCACCAGCTTCTCAGGAATAGAGGAGATGCTTCTGTGTTCCAGTGATGATTTGTATTTAAGTCAGTTGTTTGCATTTATATTTGAAAGACATAAGCTGCATATGATTTGATCACACAAAAACAATACCCGTCAAATAAATACATTGTCCTTCCCAACTGCTTAGAGCAATTCTCCAGTGTGAGTTAAGGCTGCCTTTCCCTGAGATTCTGTTATTCAGTTGTTGCAGCTGGATTGTCACTCATTTTTCCAGCTAAGTGTTGCATAGCTTGTACTAAGCTGAGGATAGTGAAAGCATAGTGTGTGTGTGTGTGCATGACCCTTGACAGCTGCTGTTCTCTGAGCTGAATGAAGGCATAGATGAGCATAGCCTTCATGTTCTTGTTCACACTGCACAAGGGTTCGTCCCTGCAGGACTCATTAATTGTAACCTAAGTGTTGTGTACAGGGTTTTGTGCTGGAAAACTTGCCTTGGGTTGGGCTGGCATTCTTTGTGCAGTTTTGGTAGCCGAAGTTTGTTCGAGTGGCAGCTGAAGCAGGGGCAGCTCCACACTGTGCACACTGCTGGTGGTCGGCAGCCCACAGGGAAAGCTCCAGGGACTCTTCACCTTCCAGTTCACTAGAGATCCGTGTTTCCTCCTGTGTCTTACAGGCCCAGGGGAGGAGCTGGGTGGCCAGTGGGCCTGTGCAGCCTGGTCATTACCAGGGGGTATGGTTGTTTTTGCTGGAGCTTGGATTGCTCAGGAGTAATAGCCACAGCTCAGTTTGAGTTAATGTTGCAGATATCTGAAGAATTCACATCGAATATGGAAAAAAGTGGACTAAAATCAATATAAGAAATAATGAGTTCAAGGATTTCTTTAACTTTCCTTCAGTGTGATTATTTTGGAAGCAGCTTAATTAGGTCATTGTTCAGCTTGCTGATGTGTAATGTCCTACTGACAGTTGCTTGCCCAGAACATGAAGTGACCTGGCTGTGGAGAAGGGTGGAGGAAAAATATCCTGGGCTTGTATGTCTTGCCTTTCCTCAGAGCACCAAACCCCGATGCAGCACAGCCCCAAATGCCTTCCCTTTCATAACCTTCTGCAGTGCATCCTGGCTTTGTGCAGGATCCTACAGCAGAGGAGCAGCAGTGGCGTTTGGATCAATGTGTGGAACAACCCAGCTCTCCTGAGGCTTTAACAGGAGATTCTCTGGGGCAGTCTGGCCAGCATGGGCCCTCTGATCTGAGAGTGCTCCAGGGTGTCTTGGACTAGTACCCGAGACTAATCCCTGAGACTGCAAACATGTTTGCCTTTGGGCTTAGGAAGATGCTTCCAGCTGGGATGCCAGCCAGGGTATTTTCAGGTGAGAAAATTACTAGCAGGCTTGTGGTATTCCTTAAAGCCAGAGGCAAGCCCCATATGTTAAGCAAATTACAAATGTCATATTTTAGACTTGAGCCAAGCTATACAGACCCTGCTGCTCTGGAGCAAAGAGTCAAAAGCCTTGGTGACATGCCAGAGTAGTGCTTGGGGACTGATAGAGCCTGGCATAGCCTGACAGTTCTTTGCACCTTTTGTCTACTTAAGATAGAAGTTTTGGGGGAGAGGGTACGTTTTTCCCTTATGCATTATGTGAGAGCCCCAGTCTATTGCCACAAGGCAGTGAAAAACATGATTTTGGGATCTTAGCTGTGCCTATGGACACCCACTGTGCTGTGAGCCATTGTCAGCCCCCAGGAGCTTTGTCAGCTATTTAAAAAAAAGAAAAACTGCCTTGCCCTGTGTGCAGGGAATTTGAGCAGCTAAGAGTGGCCTCTCCATCTGGCTTTTCTTTCTTCACCTTGCAGGCAGCATGCATTATTTCTGAATTCAGCCAGCCTACCCTGCATTTATTGAATTTCCCTTCTCTAAACAGACAGAAGTAATCCAGAAAATCAGCGGTCACAAAAGCAAACATCCGGCTCCATGTCTCCACGTTACAAACCCTTGCAAACTAACTGGTCCAGGGGAGGGGATGTTTGGGGCTGAAAGTGCATTTCCTGAATGCGTTTAACATCCATACCGGATGTGCTATAAAAAGCTAGATTTGTGTTTGTGAGGGACATGGGGGTGGTTGGAGGAGAATAACTTAAACACTTGGCTGTAATTAAAGCCAGGAGTACAAAACAACCCACCCAGTTGTCTCAGCAGGCTTTGCTAGAAAGGTCAGAAGCCCTTGGTTCCCAGGGATGTGACGGTTTCCCAACCTTCGCATTATTCCCATCGTGTCCCCCTGTGACACACAACTAGGCAGTGTTCTGTCAGCAGCGGGTATAGGTTTGTTGGAGAGGTTGGGGGTTATGATACTCTGTTCCAGTTGTTTTTGTTGTGCTCTTGGGTTCTGTTAGGCTCTTGCTGATGCCATCAGAGGTATCAGATGTGGTGAGGGCACCCGCTGATCCCTTCTCACTTGCTGCCCCAATAAATGGGTGGAAGGCTCCCAGCAGCTAAAAAAAGCCCTCCACACACCCAGCTAAGCATTCTTGTCTGTGTGTTTTAGGGCTCATTTCCTATCCTTAACCAGTGCTCCAGAATCTTTTGGGGAAAGCAAGAGCAGATCCTGGCTGTAAATTAAATGCATGACCTGATGGAGGGATCAGTGGGCATTCCTGGTACCCCAAGAGATGTTTTTTGCCCTCTCCCCAGGTCAGGCACGACCTGTGAGCAGGGTCCATCGTCTTTGCACTAATAATCCCATTTTACAAGCAGTATTTCGTATTCAGAGGATGTTAAAGCAAATTAAATCCTCCAAGCAGCTTACTGCAAAATGACTCTGTGCATGTACTTGTGAGACTCGACAGGGGTTTGAGCTCCAGGCTGGGAAAGCCCTGCACGGACCCAGCCCTGCGGTGGGAGCAGCTGCGATCTGTCCGTCGGTCCTTGGCGCTTGTCAAAGCACGGTGGCACTGCACAGGGAACAGTGCTGTTACAGCAGTCCTGAAAATGGAAAAAAATGTAGTTGGTGGGTCTTATTTGAGATTCTCTTCTAGGCAGCTGTTTCTACACAGCCTGAACAGGAGCCAGGAAGAAAGAAAGGCTTTTCACTGGCTTTGTTCTTGCTTTTGCTTATTACTGAAACCATTTGTAATTAAACGTGGACTTGCTCACTCAGCCCAGCTGTTGCTTTTCTGTTTGATCCTGCCTGAAATTACAGTGGTGGATGTTTGACCTCTTAGGCCTTTTCATGCCTTGTAGGCTGGTATAAACACCAGGTACAATTTGCCTTTGAAGCAAGCAGGCACCGTTCCCACAGAGTTCAGGAGGTGCTGTGCTTGCCGACCCCTGGGCTGCATTGAGACTGCAAGGGTTTGGACCTCAGTACAAGGACCAGCAGGAAGAGGCACTGCAGGAAAGCTCTGACCTGAGAAAATATACTTGCCCTGAACAAAAAAAGTTAGATAAACTCTAGCCTGTTCATGATGGATGCCTTCCTCCCAGAGTCTACTGCAGAGCAGTTCACATGGGCTGACTTAAATGGTATGAAAAGCTTCAGGCCTTTTCTTTTAGAAATCATTTACTCTGCTGGATGCTAATATTGAGTAGAAGGACTCCAGCAGGAAGACATGTCCATGGCTTCTCTCGCACCTTCAGGGTGCAGGAGGAGCCAAGGTGGCAATCTTTGTGGGTAGATAGGGATGGTGGGAGACTCTGGTGCCTGTTTGCAGCATCCTGACATGTTACTGTACTTTCTAAGCTGACTTTCCTCTCCAGCCTTGCCCCTCCTAGGAGCTACTTTGCATCCAAAGCTTTTTCTTGCAAAAGGTGCTCTTTCTGCATGAGTTGGCTGGATCCCTTTGCTATTATGACCAAAAGTAGTTACTTGAGATCATATGTGGACACTGACTGAAACAGTCACAGGCTCTCAGTTTTTGAAATCTTCAGATGATCCAGAGCAAGTGCTGCAGTACTTGCATGCCTTTAGGAAGCAATTTCATTTCTTAGCAATCCCATGGGCTTTTATTCCTCAGAAAGCAGGAATTTACAGTCTTCAGCTCAGCATCAACTGCAAACAATTATTTAACTAAAACTCTTGGACATTTTTCTTGTATAGGATGAGTAAGAATGCCAGTAAAGCAAGTAATCAAGCTCTTTGTGGGAGCTGGAGGTGAGGCTTTTTCAGTAATCGCTTAAGCACTTGAATAGTTCTACCCTTCCTAGTGAATTCAAAGCTTCCCATCTTTCTCCTGCTCTTCCCTTAATGTGCTCCAGAGAGTGCTGTTCTCCCAGACGGAGAGATCCAGCCCCTTGCACCACAGCCAAACGTCTGGGTGTAGAAGAAGCACATGACATACTTTCCTGTGAACATGATGAACCAGCTAGAGGCAATACTTTGTGCCCCAGAGCTAGTTTTACTTATTTC